GCCGCCGAGACACCCACGCGACGGCGCCGCCCGCCAATCGGCGCGCCGCCAGCCGCCGCGCCGAACCCGCCCCCCTCCGCCCGCCTGCTCGCTGCCAATCGGGGCTGTCCCCGCCCCCTCGCGGCCGAAAGGCGGGGCAGCATCCGAGGCCACGCCTCCCATCCCTGTCAATCATGATGACGAGCACCGCAACTGTCCCGCCCCCGGTCACCATTAATATAAATCACTTTGGGGACAGAAACCGGGTCACGCTAGAGCAGAGCCACAACCTCCCCTCTCCTCCCCTGCTCCTACAGAGCACAGCTCTCCCCTACACTCACTAATTCACCCAATTTTTTGCTCCTGATACGCTCAAATAATTTCTTCCTGCTCCAAAAATGACTTAGGGGAAGGAAAAAAAGAAAATCTCATAACTGACATAGGCCCCTTGGTATTAAGGGGGTTTTCACAAATTTTAAGACAAAGACTATCATCATCTAATCTAACCCCAGCACTTAGAGCTATCCCTGCCGACATACACATCATTCCTGAAGGGAGCCAAATTCTGTTGCACTGAAGTGTTGCACTAAACAGATGCAGAAAATTCAAGAGCAATGACAGTGATGCTATGACACTAACAAGTTGAGTGTAATTTAGGGATCTGTCTGAAGGTAAAATAAGATTTTAGTTTTTCTGTCTAGAATTAGTCATGTCCAGCTGGTAGCCATTTGTTTTCATTTCAAGATTATCCTTCAATTTAAATACTCTCTTTCCATTCCCTGATGTTTTCCTGGCTAATACAGCAAGACAATAATCATATCTCCTTGCAGGTTTCATTTGTAAAAGACAAGTAAGCCATTCTCTTCTTATAATACCAGCTTGATATTTGTAGTATCTTCTTGAAAGCCTTTTTCTGTCCTTGCTCCTACCTGAATTCATTTCTCCTGCATGGCAGTATCACTATTCCCCTTAAGCCTTAACTTTTTCCCCTTAACTTTTCTACATATTTTTTTCGCAGCCTCAGTGTAGTTCATTTATCCTTTACCAACCAATAAATCTACCTTCATTTCCTCAGTCACTTCCAAGTAATAAACTCTTAGCAACCTTTGCAAATTTATTCTTGCCCCTAAACTTACCCCCCTTGCACTTTCTGTTGTTGCGTTTCACCTCCTCTCTATTTCTTACTGTTTAAAGTCATCAAGTGCTTAATGTGTTCCAATCTCTTGTATTGTGAAGCCCCCTCTTTTGCTCAGATTCGATTATCACACACTTTTGTGCATATGCGTGTGCTAGGATCACTACTGAAAGGTTTAAATGGGACTAGGACTTAAGAAATTCAGTATCAACTCCCTACAGCACTAGCTCTGATGTTAAAACACTTTATTGTCACCTCACCTCCAAGGTATTTTTTTGTCTGTCTTCCAGTTTCTTATTTGGAGCCACAGAAAATTCATAGTTGAAGTCCTGCTAAGAGTCCTATTGCATGAAAAAGTCATTTTTGAAAACTTTACTATCTACTTAATACTATGCTATTTTTGAGCACAAGAGTCAGGCCATCCATTTTACCATAACATGGTACAAACTGGTATTTTGTGGTTTTCCACATAGGTTGCCCACATCCTTTAAAATGTAATACTTTTGAGAACAAAGGCTTAATTTCTGTGAACGGCAGATACAAAACCTACTTAATTTTTCAACCTGAAGTTACTTAGCAGAACTAATACGTACATAGTGAGATCAGTTAGACCACTTATAAATAAGGAACTTTATAGAGGCTTAATTGTTTAACGCCATAAAAGAGCATGAAGCAAGAAACACTGTCCCGTCTTAGGGATTTAAGCATCTTAAGAGCACTGCATGGAAAACCTGTGACTCTTCAGAAGTCGCAGAGGAAACAGGAGTGGACCTTTGGGATTTAACTCCTGGCATCTATTCCCAATCTCTTAATCGCTATGCCATCTTATTATTATTTTCTCTAATTTGGTAGTCACCAGGTTATGCCTTGTCCTTTAGCAAGACTTCATTACATTGCACAGCCAGACATGCTAAACAGGAGTAGCAAGAAAAAAAAACTTCTGGGAGGATGTGGAGCAAATAATCCCCATAAATCTTCAGAGGAGACATGAAAGTACCAGCTACAGCCTTGACTTCTGCTGGGTGTGAGGAAGCTTCATGTTTATTGACCATCCCCATGCCCCCGTGTCACCGCCAGAGCAAAGCGTGCGGCTCCCGGGCACCAGGGCTCATGCTGCGGCTGCCCTCAGACGTCGTCCTGCAGGGAGAGAGGAGGCAGCTGGGGCCGAAGCTGCTGCAGGTGCTGCTGGGTGGGGGACGCAGCCCCTTGGCTCTACTCACGCCGAGGTCGTCCATGGTTGGGGGGGGACCTTTGTCCGTCACCTTCTGCAGGAGCTGGGCAGGGAACAAGGGCCATGCGGTCGCTGGGCACCCACCGCTTCCCCGCGCAGCGCCCGGCCCTGCGGCACCTCACCTCTGCATATTGCTCCACCATGGCCCTCTCCACCTCCTCGTCTCCCTCCCAGTCCCGCCAGTTGTCGAAGTCCACTGAAAGCCAGGCCGGCTGCGGGCACAGAGAGGATCCTCAGCAGGCAGATGGGCAAGCCAGACCCGACAGGGCATGTCATGGCACAGCCATCCCAGCCCCTGGGCATGGAAATAGATAGGAATGGGAATGTGTGTCCATCCCACAGGCCCTGACCCTGCCTGCAGCCCGGCTCTGTGAGCTCTGCACTGGGGTGCCAGTGTGGGCAGCGGCACCAGCCGAAGGCTCCCCGAGGAGCTGGGAGGTGCTGCATGAGCACAGAGCTGGTCTGGGACAGGGCCCGCCATGTCCTGGAACTGGCCCGCGCACCTTGATGTTCTCCTTGGTGATGCGAGGCCAGGCCACTTTCTCTTTCCACTTCCTAATGAAGCAAGTGATGGAGCGGTCAGAGCGCCTCTCCTGCGAGTCCTGCGGGAGAGCGGGAGGCGTCACCGGAGCGTCCGCTCAGCCCTGCCCGCTCACCAGCATGGCCAGGGCAGGCGCCTGGCTGGGTTCCAGCTCTGGGGTGCGCAGAGCCATGCAGAGGGGATGTTTCTGGCCCAGGCTGTGCTGGGAGCGGTGGCAAACGCAGAGCCAGGGCTCTCCAATGTGCTCCCCCAGCCGCCTTGGGAAAGGCAGTGCTGCCCACTGGGATGCATGGATCGCC